CCTCCTCTTCCTCCTCCTTCTCCTCCTCTTCCTCCTCTTCCTTCTCCTCCTGTTCCTCTCCATCCTTCTAGAGAGGCTGAAATTCCTCTTTGGAATAGATAAAGAGAACATCCTGAACTAAAAAAACAAAACAAACCAAAACAAAAAAAAACAAACCAAACCAAAACAAAACTTAAAAATTCTTTCAGGCTCCATTAAAGTATATGAGATTTCAGAAGCAGTGCGTGAGTGAGCGAGGCTGGGATCAGGTAAACGAGTTGGGACCCCTCAAGGCAGATGGCAAACTCAGTGTTTCTAAGACTTCACGCCCTCTCAGTGAACCGTCCAGGCCTAAGATTTCCTACAGGGAAGAGGGGAGGAGAGAACTAAGAGAAAGGGGAAAGGCAAGAGGGAAGGGGGAAGAGGAAGAAGATGGAGGGAAGGGAAAGGGGGAAAGCGAAGAAAAAACGAGCGAGTGAGGCGGTAAGTTCTTGCAGTTCTCCCGCTGGAAGAGTAAACTCGGTCTGCGCGCCTGTGGGTTCCCTGCGTGGTGCACAAGTGGGGCCCCTTTGTGCTCTGCGTCGCTCTCCATCCGCCTCTTCAACCCGGTTCTACAGCGCCCACAGGAACCCACCCAGGAAGGGCAACTCAGCCCTGGCGGGTGATGGCCCAGGATCGGCGCTGGACGATTCACTGAGAGGGCCTCGACCCAGGGATGAGTCTTGGCACCAACAACCGGCACCAGCCGTGGTGAAGTGGGGATGCCACGGGCGCGCAGGGTCAGCGCCGAGCTCTGAACGCACTGCTTTTCGCAGTGACCAGAACCGAGGGGCAAAGCGGGTGTTAACGCGACCTCGCGTCCCTTGGCGCCGCCCGCAGGAGGGTGTGCTCATTCGCACGCAGTTGCTCGCGGGAATACAGGGAGGATGCAAAAGGGAGAAATGAAAGAGCTGAGAGAGCGGACCAGCCTTGGTTCCGGCGCGCAGATAGCTACAGCGCTCCGCTCCGCGCGGTACCAGGGCTCGTTTCCTAGACAGCCCAGGCTCTGGAGCGCTCCGGACATGCAAGAAATTAAACAGTGGGCAACAGCCTTTACGACCTGCGTTCTCTCAGCCTCGCCCCGTTTTTCTCCCTATTTTTGCCTTGGATCTCTGGAGTCAGCGTGCTGCTCGGAGCTCCCCGCCCCAGGTCTCCCCAGCCCAACTGGTAGCCGTCCCTAGACCTAGCGCGCTCTGCGCTGGGCTGTTCTAGGGCGGGAGCAGAGTGGGGACTCCCGCAGCCGGGAAGAGGGCGCTGTTCCCTGCAGGCCTCTGCAGAGCCTCCGCCTTGGAGCTGCGGTAGCTGCAACGCCACAAGGATCGGGGTGTTCCGCCGCCGCTTCCCCTCCTTCTCTAAGAGCCCCCCCCCCCCCGAGGCCCGCCCAGCCTGCGTTCCCAACCTGGAGCACCTGGCCTAGTGCTTTTCTGGAACCCCTGCCCGACCCTGGAAATGCGCTGGGCCTCCCGACAACCTGCAAACCGCCTCCTTCCCTGCTGGGTGCCCCGCTCCAGGGACCCCCGTTGCGCCTCGGGTCCAAGTAGTCTATCCGCAGATTGAGGCCCCGATCAAAACCCGTTCCAGGCTAGGGCTCCTCGTCCCGTGTCCTTGACCCTCGCCAGGGCGCGCGAGCCCTGGATGCTGGCAGCAGGAGCAATCTGTTCATGTCCTAAACGCGAGCTCCGATGAAAGTTAACTGGGTTGTTGCGGTCAAAACCAGGACGTCAAACCTCAGAGGTTGCCTTTTACGTTGCACCTGCGCGGGATTAGGTCCCGGGCCTTGCGCGCTGCGTGCAGGTTGTGAACTGGGGCCGTGGGAATTGAGTGCATTGTGGAATCGGCAGCCATCGAGCAGAGTGCGAGCTTTCACTGTGTTTCTCTCGCTGCCCCGTCAGCGCAGCCCATGAGGTCAGTCTTATGGGCTCCATTTCAGGATTAGAAACGGAGGCCTAGAGAGACACCTGTCTTGCGCAGTCTCTGACCCAAGCCCAGGTCTTCCCACCAATGCTGCCACCTTCCAGGGTCACCTCTGCTGAGAGCCGCAAAAGAGGTGGCATCCTGCAAATATGTGTGGCTGGGACCCCAGGACATAGTCCAGCCTTGAAGCTTATAGACTGGGTGTGTCTAAGGAACATGTGTTCCCTCGTGGATTCACTCACTTATTCGGCAATTTGGGTGCGCACTGGTGTAAGATGCAGAGGCAGCCCTGTCACCCAGCGGGGGGCATGACAGCTTCGGTCCTCCAGAGGGAAAAATGGCCTGAACTCTGAGCCAGAAGCCCCTTGTATGTTGGGTGTCGGGATGTCAGGGGCTGGGCGAGTTCCCGGCTCGCACGGAAGCCAGAAAAAACACAGGAGAGCGGAGTGACAACTCTGGAGTCGGAGAAGGGAACTCCGCCAAGAATCAAAGGCAAAGGAGCTGAAGAGCCCACACTGGAGACGGGGGAGGAGGGACAATGGGCGCGCCTTTCTGAGAGGCCTAGGCTGCACAGAGCGCCTCTGCCGCAACCCCAGTTGGCACGGGTTCAGAGGTGGTCGAAGCCCATCACTTTGGGAAAGCTCCGGGTGTGTTCCCTGAGAAGGGCTAGCTGGCTGATCTGGGGGATTTGCGGTGACGTCTCTCGCGCCGGGGTTAGGATTTCCCTTGCGGGAAGAGCTGGAGTGTGATCGCGAGGCGACTGCCGGTGCGGCCCCGGCTGGGGCTGACGCTAAGGCTGGCGCTGGGGCAAGGAGGCACTGCTCTGCACCTGAGGCCGCTCGGAAGGGGCGCGCCCAGCGGAGGGGCCGGCCGAGGGCGGTGCGGGGAGAGGCTCGGCCCCTCCTCCCCGCCCTCTCTTCTCTAGGCAGGTCCGAGCCGAGAGGCTGCCGCGGGGCGCAGGGAGGGGATCCGCGCGGAAACAAGGAGGGGCCGCCGTGGAGATTCATTGGAGCACCCGACGGCCCAAAGCTGATAAATAAGGGGCCCGGCGGAGGCCGGCGGCCGAGTTTAACCCCCGACCGGAGCCAGGGCCTGGTCACCACCGGCCCCACGAGGCGAAGTCCGGCGACCCCAGTGCAGCCATGGCCTCGCTGCTAGGAGCCTACCCGTGGCCCGAAGGGCTCGAGTGTCCAACCCTGGAAGCCGAGCTGTCGGATGGGCTGTCGCCGCCGGCCGCACCCCGGCCCCCGGGAGACAAGGGTTCGGAGAGCCGCATCCGGAGGCCCATGAATGCCTTCATGGTGTGGGCCAAGGACGAGAGGAAACGGCTGGCGGTGCAGAACCCGGACCTGCACAACGCAGAGCTCAGCAAGATGCTGGGTGAGTGAGTGGCGACCGGCTGGGCTCCTCGAGGGCGGCGGGCAGGCGCGCGGGCACGTCTGCCCCATCGTGGGCGCACGCGGTGCGTGAATCGAAGCAGGGACACCTCGGCCCGCGTGGTCCAAAGTGAAACTGAGGGCGGGGGGTTCCGGGAGGCCCCTCCTCTGGGAAGAGGTCGGAGACCCCGGCTTCAGGAGGGTGCGATCGGCAGCTCCAGGCTCCGGGTTCTGGAGACCTGCGCGTGCGTAGCGACGCTGCCCGGACGGAAACGTCGAGGTGGGCACCCAGCTCTAGCTGGGAAGGTTGGAGCACGAAACCTTTTGCCTTTCGATTGGGACAATCAGAGGCAGACTGCCACGGTTTACCTGCCAACGAGTATTCGCGGGAAAAGGCCGTTGGGCGATGAATCCTGCTTTATCTTAGTTACTAAGCGGCCAGCCAGGACGGGGCCGTCTGGATAGTGCACTTCGCTACCGCATTGGCATCTGTCATGGGCGCGCAGATGACCCTGGATGCTCAGGACGGCCGCGGAGTCTGCCGTGGCCCCGGTGCTTCTGGAAGCAGCCCGGGCACTGGGAACAGGGGCCTAGGACAGGCATGGGTCAGGCCAGAGGAACCCAGAGTGAGGGTGATAGGACGCGTCGGCAACCCGACTTCTCTAGGGGCTTTCTCCTCTTCTCTGCAGTGGAGCCTTCCTTGCAGCCCTCGGGTTTGATTCATTAAAAACAATGAGAATCACAGCGCATTGTGCTCGCAGCAGGGCGCCAGCCCCTGCGACGGGACGTGCGGTCACTCGACCCCGCCCGGCGGCCACGGCCGGAACCGGCCCTTCCTTTTCCCGTCCGAGCTCGGGCTCCTTCCCCCGCTGTGAGGGGAGTGCCGTCCCCTAGTGTAGCCTGGGCGAGAGCAAGGTCCCGGCCCTCTTTCGGGTCAGGCTGAGCTCAGGCTGGCCAAGCCCGAGCAGGGGTCCCCGCGCCGCCCAGATACGTTGGCGGCAGCCCCGCCTCGGTGCAGAAGAGTAAAAGGTTTGTTTTGTACTGTTGTGAGCATAACGAGACATTCAGATAGGCAATAATAAACATTTTCTTTGACCCCAAAATCCATATTTTTCTTAGATTTTAAAAGAAATGAATTTTTTTTTTTTTTTTGCGGAGTTACCTAAAACGTTTTTTCAATTTTTTCCTCCAGGGTCCTATTGGCCAGGCACAGCTGGGCACAGGAAGCTGCCCGTGGTGACCAGGCTTCTGTTGTGGGCGCAGGCAGAGGTAGGGGAGGGAGGCCTTGCCCTGCAGAGTTGAGGCAGCTGCTCCTGGGGACAAGGAGGCAGAGGACAAAGAAGACCAAGGCCCTGGGAGCTGAGCCCTGTCTGGTGCTTCCACCCAGCCTCAGTGTCGGTGTCGGTAGATGACACTGGCACTGAGCCACTTACTCTTTAAAATAGGGTCTTTGTACCCTGTGGCCTGCTGGCAGCAGGGCGAACTACCCCCAGCTCATGATCAAGCGTTTTGCTCAGTCTTTCTCTTTCTCACCTGTGGAAGAAAAGGGCTGGTTGGAGGTCCCAAATCTTCCACTATAAACTTTCCAAAAACCTTGGGGCCGGGGAGATGGCTCAGTGGAATAAGCGCTTCCCTGGCAAGCACAAAGGTCTGAGTTTTATGCCTCATTCTGCAAAACAAAAAACAAAAAACAAAAAAACCTCTCACACTGGAAACTTCATGCAAAGGCACCAGCGTTTCCAGCACAGTGTGAGAAAGAACACCAGGACAGAGAGGCCCAGCCTGTGTCACATTGCTGCGGCAGCATCCAGGCACATTTGGGAACCACAGTCACCTTGTGCATCTGGAACAGAGTGTGGGCTGTGCCTGATTGCAGGCCTCGTGTAAGACCTTTATGGCCTCAGCTGCAGGCTGGGGACCAGTGTCATGATCAAGATCTGGGGTACCTCACCCTCTAGAAGTCACCCTTTGAAGTGATAGCTCATGACAGTGACTGGCCACTCACAGAACAGTTATATACGTTCACCCCAGTGACAGAGTGCTTTCATAACTGCCCTCCTTGTGTGGGCTCGAGGCCCGCCATGCGCCTGGCTCTGTGCTAGCCCTTTGCGATGGGGTGTGCTGAGTGGAAGACAAGGCTGGTTTCCTCACAGGGCTTGGCCTCTTGGCCTGTGGGTCTCACACTTCAAGCTTCCTTAATGTCCTGGGGGAACATGGTAAAGCTGGAGAATCAGAGGCACTTCTAAGAGGTAGCAATCTAGGGGTTTAGAAGTGACCCTCAGAATACTCTGGTGCCAGCCAGTCGGCTGGGGGGGTGGATGAAAGAGAGACACCAAGGTGCTTTGCAAAACAACACAGTGGGGAGTGACAATCAGGAAGTCCTGTGCTGACAGCACTTTAGCACAGGAGTTCCTAGAGGGGTTGTTTCTTAAGGAGAGAGTGAGCTGTTACAGCTTTCATGGTGAGAAGCCCAGAGGAGCTAAGGGGTTTGGTTCTGCGGGTGTGTGAGGGGGCTAAAGGCTGAGAAGGCTTCCCATAGCCATGGGGTCTCAAGTAGACAGCCAGGAGTGGAATCTTGTGTGTGCATGTGTTGCAGGACTTTTTTCTGCAGAGCCCCTGCTGACCTTCCTCAGTAGAGTCTGTTCATTTGTTAGCCCAGGTGAGACCCTAGACTTGGCTTGCATCTGTGAAACTGCTGACTCAGCCTGGGTGGCCTCAACCGAGGGTTGTGAGGGTTGTGAGGTTGACACCAGAAGTTAGTGTAGTATCCTTGAGAGGCAGGGAGTTTTCATTCAAAGGATAGGAAGAGCCTCATCAATGTCACTGTCATTGGGCATTTTTTTCATGACACTGATGTTGAGTCAAGAATCCTGTGTTGTTTGTGTGGCAACTGAGGTCTCCACTCACCCTTGGCATGAAGTGGCTTTGTAGACTGCAAGCAGGAGGGGTTGTTGCTGCCTTAGGGGTTTGGGCTCAGCACTGGAGGTGGGGTTCAAGGCAGGATGTGAGAACTGGGGGTGAAGAGATGCTAAGAGGCGCGGGGCACATGCCCTGGCCAGCCTGCCAGAAGCCCAGACACTGAGCACAGCCTTCTCTGGTTTGTGTGAGCAGGAAAGTCATGGAAGGCGCTGTCACTGTCACAGAAGAGGCCCTATGTGGATGAGGCAGAGCGGCTGCGGCTGCAGCACATGCAGGACTACCCCAACTACAAGTACCGACCCCGCAGGAAGAAGCAAGCGAAGCGCCTCTGCAAGCGAGTGGACCCTGGCTTCCTCCTGAGCTCCATCTCCCGGGACCAGAACACCTTGCCTGAGAAGGGCACCAGTGGCTGCGGGGCACAGGGAGAAAAGGAGGGCAGGGGTGAGTACTCCACAGGTGCTGCTCTGCCCACCCTCCGAGGCTGCTACCACGAGGGTCCTGCCGGGGGTGCCCCCGGCAGCGTGGACACATATCCCTACGGGCTGCCTACGCCCCCGGAGATGTCTCCCTTGGACGTGCTGGAGACGGAGCAGACCTTCTTCTCCTCTGCTTGCCCAGAGGAGCACGCCCACTCCCGACACCTGCCACACCTGCCTGGGCCACGGTACTCCCCCGAGCTGGCCCCTAGCCCCCTCCACTGCAGCCATCCCCTGGGCTCTCTGGCACTTGGCCAGACCCCAGGGGTGTCAGTGATGTCCACAGTTACTGGCTGTCCCTCATCCCCTGCCTATTATTCCCCAGCCACCTACCACCCTCTCCACTCCACCCTCCATACCCACCTGGGCCAGCTCTCCCCACCCCCAGAGCACCCTGGCTTTGATACCTTGGATCAGCTGAGCCAGGTGGAACTTCTGGGGGACATGGATCGCAATGAGTTTGACCAATATTTGAACACTCCTGGCCATCCAGACTCTGCCACTGGGGCTGGGGCTCTGAGTGGGCACACCCCACTCTCCCAGGTAACCCCCACAGGCCCCACGGAGACCAGCCTCATCTCTGTCCTGGCGGATGCCACAGCTGCTTATTACAACAGCTACAGTGTGTCCTAGAGCCTAAGGCACAAGTCTGCCCCAGCCCTCACTGCCCTGTCCTTGCTGCGGACAACATGAGCAGACTGCACAGAGCCACCAGCCTTCCTCCTGTCCCGGTGGTGGTGGGGCCCAAACACTGGCCAGGCAGCCTTCATTCGACAGCTGGGATGGCTCTGTGGATCCAGCGCCCTTGACTTCCATCACGTGAGTTCCTCTGGCTACAGCCCAGGAGCAGACACCTCCAGTCGCTGGGATACTCTCTGCCCCCCAGAATGAGCTGCCTGGCCCTGCCCTCCTGGCCCATCGTAGGCAGGAGCCACACCTGCTCGCTGGGTGCTTGGGGAGGAAGAGCCACAGCGAGGACTCCAGCACAGCACCACCGAGGACACTGGTGCAGCCCTGCCCTCCACTCTGTGAAGCCACGGTGAGCTGGACGGCCATGGCCTCCATGTCTGCCAGGTTTCTGAGGTAGGGCTCTGGCACTGCTGCCTGAAGGACAGCGGGGCATCCTGCTAGTGTGCAGCCTGGCTCTGCCCGTGGGCTCTGTTCCTGTTGCCTCCCTTCCACACTGACCCTCACTTGGGACGCAGGACACTTCCAGATGTGACTCGGAGGTCAGACAGCATCACTGGGAACAGCACTGAAGCTGGATTTTTAAAGATATATTTTTAGATCAATTCTTTTTATTACACACTCTTGGAGAGAGTCGGTGAGAGACCCCCCTGTACTCACATCTACGCACACCCTTGTGTGGTATCAACCAGGTCTACCCAACTGCGGCTGTCTCTCACCACCTGTTGCTCCTGAAGCCCCAAAGAGCCAGGCCCCTGCCCACTCAGAGCCCCAGCCCCAGGCAGCCTGAGCGCAGAGGCAGCGCCAGCAACCGGACCTGCTGGTTTCTTGAGCAGAATTTCACCACTCTTTCCCCTCTGCACCTGCACAAAGAGCCTGTCCCGCTCTTCAGCTTCCTTTCTCCCTTCCCTGGAATGCTTCCTGTCTTGTGCTGGCTCTTGCTCTGCCCCTGGCATGGGTCCCCAGTGCGAGGAGCCTCTGACTGGACCCCCAGGGTTTCCTTTGTCTGGAAGGACACTTTATTTTCTGGTGAGCCAGCCAGTCCCTGAGAACTGTCCTCAGCCAGCACCTCTGCGAGGCTGGCTTCCCAGGCAGAAACACACTGTGACTCTGACACGGGCCCTGAGCCCCGACAGCCCATCCTCCGTCCTCCCTGAACCCCTTCGAAGGAACTCGCCTCACATGCCTCTTGTTGTCTTCGGACATCAGCGTATTATTGCCGTGTGAAATGTGTTTTATATATTCTCCTAATATGTTCACTTTATATCTCATATTGTCCATTCTTTTTTCCTTCCAAGCAGTCTTATTGTAAAATCACTTATATGATTAATCTTTATGTTATTATTGTATATGCCATTTGGTAACAAATAGTAAACTGTTCTGGTGCACAGCCCAGAAGTGTATTAATAATCTTGTAAAATAGTATCACCGACATTAAGCTAAACTGTTGCGATTTTTTTTTTGTAAGGACTACACATGCTTGGAATGGTTATGATATTGATTTGTCAAAAATATTTAATTTAAATAAACTTTTTTGTACCATGACCATTCTGTCATTTGAAATACTTTATGTGTGTGCAGAAAGAAAAAGTTTTTGAGTGAAGTGCAGTTGATACATGCACTGGTCGCAGTACTGGTCCAAATGCTTTCTGCACCAGCTTTTTTATTTGGAAAATGTGCAATCTTGCAGCGGTGACTTGTCTTAGATTCTGTCAAGCAGAGGGAGCCCGGTTTCACGCGGCAGAAGCACGTTTGCTATCCTCAGCACTGGAGGACAGCACTGCTGCCCAGCCCCAGGCCAGGCAGCTTTCTCCCACAGGTGCCTTCACTCTTGCACACAGGAATGAGGCGACCACGGCCCCCTAAGGGTGCAGAGTGAGTTTTGTCCAATTGTGGGCTTACTGGAGGCAGCCACGTTGCTTTGTTCCCATTGCCTGGACGCATCCCTTGCTGGTCCCCTTTCCCAGCTGGCAGCACAGTGTGGTGTGGCGACAAGAGATGCGAGGCTAGCGAGGTTTAGGGTTCCACTCCCAGGAAAAAGTACCTGGAAAAAACTGGTGATTACTCAGTCCCCGGGCACGGCCCCTCCGCCTGGCCTTCCATGGCGGAGCAGTCGTGACTTGTCGGAGTCAAGGGCAGCCTTGAACTTTCCCAGGCCCCTGGGCCAAGGAGGGGTCTCAGGAGGGCCAGCTGGCCTCTCCTCAGCCTCAGTGAGCCTAAGCTAGGCTCATTACTTTAATAGCACTTTATAGGTGCGCGAAGCTTTACAGGAAGTTTTACGGGTTATTTCTCACTCACAGCCCCAGGTGAGGCCCGTCATCCCCATGGCAAAGCTGGGCACACTGAGGCTGGGTGAAGCTGGCAGGGGCTCACCACAGGCACCAGGGCACCTGCCAGACACGCGTGTTCCAGCATTTTAGCAGACTGTGTCCTGGCTGGGCTTGGAGCCTTTGCCTAGGCAGTTCCCGGTGGCGTGGAATTATATCCTGCATAAGCCACACCAGCCTCTAGGCAAGGAGTGACGTGGGCCAAGGACCGAGGAGATGTGGCCACACCAAGATGAGGCTGCAGGCCTGGCTGGCATAGTGGCCGGCGGGTGGTGGCGTCTGCAGGGTCACCACTGGCGAGGCAGTGTCTGCCAGGACCTGACCCTGGACGCAGTGTGGGTTGGGTGTTGTCCAGGCCTCTGCCAGGGCAGGAACTTGGCGGGCGGCACACTTGCTGTGCTCTCAGGGAAGCCCCGTGGCAGAAGCCAGGACTGTCTGAGCGTTGTGGCCACCATCCTTGTCCCCGCTGCTGCTGTAGCTGGGAGCACCGAATGCTTTGCTGAGGAGCTGGGTGGCAATGTGCAGTGCTGCTGCTCTTCTAAGCCATGGGTGTCTCCGTGCCATCCCTGCCGGAGAGGACTTGGCGGGCGGCTGCCCGGCACCCACAGCACAGAGCGCAGAGGGGGGCTCGTGGCTAGGCCGAGGCGCCCATCATGGCCCCTGACCTGCATGGCCCTGGGGCAGGAGGACTGCTCTTGCATCCACACGGCCGACAGTCTGTATAAACTTTGCCAGTGGGAGATCCTCTAGTGTTCTCCCACTTAGGAGTTTTCCTCTCCCACTGTCCAAGCCTGAGGCTGTAACACCTGCCTAGTGCCCATGCAGGTGCTCTGACGGCTAGCCCTCAGCTTTCCCAAAGCGTCTCGTGTCCACTCCATCTTACTTCAAGGAACCTGTTGGCAGCCGAAGACTCCTTTCCCCTGCCTCAGGGCTTTGTCAGTGCTGACCCCCACCTGGGTGACCCACATACTTGTCACTTGTCACCAGTCTGGTGACACCTGCCTACTGTCCAGGTGGGGTCAGACGTTCCCATCATGTCAGTGGTCACTGTCCTCCTACAAGACCTGGACGGCTCTCAAGGACTGTGGCGGCTGTGACAGTGGAGCTCCCAACACATGCATCCTCTCCAGAGAATGACCCAGACTGGTCGCCTGGCAAATAGAGGGACGGATGATGAGACACCTTGCTCAGCTTGCTATGCAGACCTGGTGCTTCCAAGCCCTCCATTTACCTCGAATTGCTCTGGAAGCCAAGGTTCCAAGGATCTGTGTGGGTCCTTGTCAGCTCTCAGACAGGGTGGCACCTGCTGCTGTATGGAAAGGAGGAAACAGGCCAGGACACAACCCCAAGGGCACAGAAGAGAAAGAGCCCCTCTTCCTTCCTGCCTGGGGGCAGCAGAGCTGAGCTGAAGACAGGCGGCTCCTCACCCTGCTCCTGCCTCTTTCCTCTCAAGAAGGCGGTGATCTTGAGTCCGTGTCAGTGAACAGGGAAAGGAAGGAAGGGAGGGAGGAAGGGAAGGAGAATGGGAAGGGGGAAAGGGGGGAAAGAGGGGGAAAGGAGGGAGGAAGAAGAGTGGGAGGGAGAGAGAGACAGAGGGAAGGAGGGAGAGAGACCGAGAGAGGAAGGGAAAGAGGGAGAGAGGAAAGGGGAGGAGGGGGAAGGAGGGAGGGAGGGTGGAGGGGAGAGAAAGATTAAGATCGATCTACCAGCCATCCACCGGTCCACCAATCTACCATCTTTTCCTCCTTCTTTTCCTTCCTTCGGTCCCTCTCTGCCAGTCTCCTCACTGCTTACTGTCTTCTCACCCATCCCAGCCACCTATCTGTACATCCACCCATCCATCCCCACTTCTGTATCTGTCATTTTAAGTCTCAGTCAGACGTTGCCTCTACAGACAGATATTCAAAAGAATATAATTGGTTATAAAGAAGAGAATAAGTCATCTCTTATCTACAACTTAGGAGACATTACTGGTAATTTCTTGACATATTTTCATGCTGATTTTTTGGGTTTTTTTTTTTTTTTGCAGTGATAGTGATGGATTCCAGGGCCTTGTGCTTGTCCCCAACCCGTTGAGTTTTTCAAATTTATTTATCTATTTGCAGACATACATTTGCATGTCTTTTATGATAAACGTTTTTATTCACTCATATTAAAGAAACATTTTTCTATGTCATTAAACTTGTCCACAAAAGCTTTCTTCTTCCTGCTTGGAAAATCAATACGAACACAATTTTGAAAAAGACAGATTACCCAGGGGGTGTATTTTCAGCAGACTTGTTTCCATGTTCTGCACTCCCTGCCTTGTGTCCTCGTGCATGTAGTTGCACAAGTTCCAACCCTGGGAACACTGACAGGCCACAGGCCACAGACTGCATCAGCTCTGCATACAGGACAGTGACAGTGACATCTGACTTTGTCACACTCCGTGACTATGCTGTACTTGGGCACAGGGAGGTTGCTGCCTCCACCTGACCACCCTCTTGCTATTTCTAACTGACTCGTTCCCTTCTCTAAATCCCCCCGCAATGAACATTTCCAGTTTGTGTCCCTAGCTGGCTTTTACCAGGGTCTCACCTGGTCACTGGATTCCCACAGCGACCTCACCCTTTCAAAAGGGAAGTATGAGCTGCGACCCTTAATAAGGGGTTCATGTCTCACAGGTTACCCTTCTGTACTCCTCTTCATCCCTGGGGTGCCTTTAGCCATGGCTCCTTCTGGGTGGTCCAGAGAAGGGTTGTCCTGGCAGTCACAGGGAGTGGCGGCGTCCCCAGCTGCCCCAGGTACAATGTCAGTGCCACACATGCTCTGGCCCTGGGATGGTGTTGAGTCAGGAGTGGTTCTGGCCTCACTGGATCCTGCTGGGACTTGGGTGAATGCCATACCTGTCTTCTGGCCTCAGAAGAGATAGAGTGAATTTGCAGGCATTTTGGGACCCTCAGAGCTCTATGTCATGCCCAAAAGAGCCCTTTGGATTTCTGCAGGTGATTTCCATGTCTCTTAGCCTGCAGGCTGGCTTCAAGTTGAGGACTCAGGATCCGGGTGTTGGCTGACATCACGGTGGGACTGACTGGCTGGAGTCCTAAAGACAAGACCCAGATTATGGGCAAGAGAGCGCCTGGGGTCTGTAGGTATCATTCTCTGGTGCTGAGCTGGGATCTGCGGGGCCTTTGGGTCCCTTTCCAGACCGTCCTTTCCTCTGGTGCACAGCCTCCTCACCATTCTTAGAAGACAGTTTTTGGTTCAGTCTGAGAAACCCTCAGGAAAGGGGGTCTTCCCTGCGTGGCTACGTGGACAGATTCCATCGTTAGAAAGTTCATTCTTCTGCCCCACAAAAACCTCTCCTGTTTCAACCCAAATCCACAGTTGTTTGGCGTCATCTGTGGAGAGGCAGGGCAATATGTCCACATCTTGACCAGTAATTCCTACTCCTGAAGGCCTGTGGTCATCCCCTCCCTTTGGGGCTGTGTTTGAGGTGGGGGGCGGAGACTGCTCCAGACCCTGAATGTGGGATATGGATGTGGGGGCTGGATGGAGGGAAAGCTCTGTTATTACAGAAGTGGGAGAAGGATGCAGGGTTTCAGTAGGGAGTGGGGCTATGCTCTCCAAAATGGTGTGAGGAGTAGTCACACTGTGAGTCACATGCTGGGTTTCCCAGCCCTGCTCACCCCCTTGCCTGTGGTCACTCCCTCCTCTCTCCTCTGTTGCAGGCTTTAGGGTGGCACAGGTCTGTGCCTGAGGGGACCCTGAAACACAGACCACAGTGGTCTCTTCCCAGAATTTTTGGGGAGGCTACTCATTGTGTCTTAGAGGTGCCAATGGTGAGCTCTACCAGCTAAGGCTGCGACTTCCAGGAGTTCAAGGTCATGCGGAGGGCAGCCCCTCCAGCTTCCCTCTCTCACCAGGTGGTTTAAAATCCTGGGGAACCTCAGAGCACCTCTATCCTGAAAGCAGCACTCAGAGAACTTCCTTCTTCACTATCACTTTCTCTGAAAGGTGGAAGCACCAGCCCCACATCCCAGGGCACGGTGACAGTCAGGGAGTGGTGTAATGTCTTAAAGTGAGCTGGAGAGAGCAGAGAGGCGGGGATCTGCCCGAGTGCTCTCCAGCCAGAGGTGTCCTAACCTACACAGAGCCCAAGTGTCTGTGGGACCCGTTCCAGGACCGCCGTGGGTCCCAACATCCCAGATGCTCACCTCCCTTACATAATATGGTGAA